GCGCAATGAGCAGCTTCACACGCTCTAATCCTCATCATTAACTTCAGGTTGGTTAAGCGCACTATTGGCGTCGTCTATAGAACATCTGTTTTCAAATGCACGAACCAGTAGCGAAGCGAATGCGGGCAGACGAACTCAATTCAAACGTATGTGCGGCACCGTCCCAACTAGTTGATCCTATGCAATCATGACAGTTATTTTATGTAACGCGTTGAGAAGTATTGAATAAAGTTTAAATCAAACTCATTTTCACTAGGGGTGGACATCGAAAATAAAGTGTTTATATTCATACGCTTACATATGCATATTTACGGTTGTGCAATTTTCATCGGAAGCGGGGTGATAAGAGTTACAGTAATTCATCGAGAGGCCTAGTGCGGAACGCTGCACGTAATTAGTTCCAGTACTTCTTGAGTTTCTGCCACGGCGCTGAAGCCAGCGACAAAATCGTCTCAAAAGCAATCCTCGCAATATATTATTCAGTAGATTGGAGAAATTTATACCAACTTTCTTCTACTAAATGTTTTGCAAGTTGCGAACAACGGCGTAAGTAGAAGCAAATTTCGAGAGAAACTTGTACAGAAAGTAGCCGTTCACTGAGTGTTCAAGGGTGGTAGTAGTTCCTCAAGTTTATCAAAACAAGAATTAGCCATGCTTGTGATGGAAAGGCCTAAGCTAATCACGAATGTGGCGTAGAGTGTTCTAATAGGTGCGAGTGCATAACCCATACAACAAATGTTAGGGTACAAGTGTTAGAGACATTGCTTCATATGATTTTGCAAGACGTGAGCTGTTAAAGCCCATTTTATGTACAAATGAAATAATATTAACCGGTGAAAAAAAAGGATTTGGCTCAGCCGGACAAGATTAAGTTACTTCCAACTCACGTCAATTTATTCGAGGCTCTAGCTCCTTATTCTCATAAACACCCTGTATCACTCTTTTCACATTCCCTGTTCGTTTGCTTTATGATTTCTTATTCCGTATAGACCTTCCACATCATATCGTTAG